GTATTTATTCGGTTCCTGCTTAAAAAAATCTATAAAGGGAGCATAACAGCCGACCATTTGTTTTTGTCACAGCACATTTTATTCAGGACATCCTGCATATTCAGCTGATATTTATTTTATTTTTTATTTGTTGTAAAACCCGAGTCAAGATTATTTTGTTTCCAATCTTTCCTGGAACAAATAATTTCTGCTGCCCAAACTCCCAGGTCCTTCAGTATAGATTGTTCTTTAGAGATTGGACAATGTGGTGCTATATATAAATACATATTAATTAAATAATTATAATTGAAAAAAGTCTCTGTTGTCAAATGATTTGAGAGCTAAAATGTAGGCTAATTGATGCCTAAGATAGGTAAGTTATAGTATATCATACATAGAACTTTGCGAAAAAGAATTCACATACACATAAAAAAACTGAGATAGAAACACTTACGTTTTGGTTGAGGTCTACCGGGACTGACTGATTCAGAAAGTGAAGTGTCCACTGCACAGTCCTTCCTTTATATTAACATGAATGCAGGTGTACAAAGCGGGTCATAAATTGTGCATGTCTACAAAATGACCAGTTGACAACTCGTTATACAACGATGACTGTGTCTACCCGACAGGTGATTAATGTATGCTGTATAAGCGCGATACGGTGATGCAATTTGACGGTAACAACGAACAGTGAATTAAATCACCCACTCGATGTTTCTGACGTTCTTGCACTTGTCATTTCAGTTGCAGTATGAAATCTCATTTAATAGATTTAACTTGAAGAGATGAAAAGAGCGTAACATTACGTCAACTGAAGTATAGTTTATCTATGAATAATAGTTATAAGTTAAATGAAAACCATTTGACCAATGTATTTATGTTACATTTTATCATGACATATTAACTCTAATGCCACACATTTTACCTGATGTCAAAGTGACAAAATCCAACATGTATTACGAATATGACTTGATTTATATCCGATGGTCCGAAGATGGCATTAACGATGCAATGGCAAGGTTGGTGTTTTAGCCATGTGATTCAAGCTTTCGATTTTCCGTATGGGTATAAGGTGTGAAGTCCATTCCGGGTCTTATTTGACTTTTTTTTTAGCCAAACTCACTCAAACAAACCTCACTCACTCTAAGAAGCATTTACATGTTAGTCCAATCGATTCTATTGATCATAGTTTTTATGCTAAATGAACTGGCTTTAAAAGAGACATATACAGTAAACTATGTTTATAACGAACACGCTTAAAAGGAACTGACGGATTTAACGAACATTTTTTAGTACTTCCATTTGTTGTACCTATGCTGTATATATGCTTATAACGAACTACGGTTATTACGAACTAAAATTAGTGATCCCTTTGAGTTCGTTATAACCAGAGTTTACTTTATATATGTTTACATATATATGTTTCAAATATACACATATACATTTTGAGTGGAAAGCAGATTATTATGTGTGTGAGTTGTAAATGTTTAAATGTTACTCGATAAGAGTATATTGTTTGTATTTTTCTCCACAAGACACATTAGTTGTGTTACTGGTCTGAATACAAATGTGTTAAATGTCACATGTTCAGCTGCACAGATCATACAGGCTGTGTCGTCGCACTGTACACTATTGTGCTTCAAGCCCTTTGACTTCGATAATAAAACATCGATACCAGTATGACGAGTCTTAATTTTTTCATGTGTATTTTGATCAACCTTGTAACATCAGGACGGTGGTTTGGTGAAGAGGTTCAAGCGGTTCTCTTGTGGGTGCAATGTTTGAAGCATTCATAGAATCCAGAACATCTTGCGGTTGACACGTTTTACCCATGGTGTCATCTCACCCTGAAGGTGTGGATCGTTGCTCATGATATTAGTCACTAGATTGTTTGGTCCAGACTTCATTATTCACATGCTATCTCCTATACCTGGACTATTGCTGGGAGTGACGTTAAACGACAAACAAATAACGCTCACAAAAAATACATCCAATCCCCTTGCAGACCTTGATTTAGCATTTCGTGTAATCATGATAATTGTCATTCATAATATTATTATTTTAAACATGTTAACCATACTTGTGAATATAGATTTGAAAGGCAAGAGAATATATAGATGTCAACTTCTTTATTATGAGGAACACGACGTTTCGGAGTATATGCTTACTCCTTCATCAGGTGAATGAATGCCATGAGGCAGAGAGCATATATATTCCTCTCATGGCGGGGAAAAGGAGATAGTTTCCCTCGTGGCTGCGCAGCTCGTTAAAATATCTCCTTCTCTCCCGTCACTCGATGAGAGAAACATGATATTTCATTCGACACATGAAATATTCTCTATTTACTCAATCGATTTCACAAAAGTGATTTTCAAGGGTTCATTCATACTGCTACCCTATTTTGACGTCACAGTGCACTCAAACATAGTATGGGGTCATTCTGCAATCTAACATATTGTGACGTCACAGAAAGGCATTGTGTGGGGCATGCGTACAGAAATTCACCAATAAGTATTGAAGTGGCAGGAAAATGTACAATACTTGTTTAAAAAATACTAGTATTTGAACCCATTTAATTTTGGTTTGAAAGTATTAATAAGATAACTTTCTTTCCTTTTCTCAGTGCATCATTTTCACATTTGTAAAACGGGAACATCATAACATTTGGTGCTTTATTCCCGGCATATTGATCAATGTGTTGACTGAATTGGATACACCGGCAAGAGGTGTCCCATATGTGTTGTCGGTTGACTCTCACTCTCTCACTCTATATACATATTGCTACATAAGGGATTTTCGTTATAGACGAGTCATCAATTCCAAAGGTTTGGTCTCAATCCCTATCCATAGTGGTTCAAATTCTTCGGCATATGGTGTACTCTTGTTAGTCTTCTCGGTACAATCTCGGTACAATCTCGGTACAATACCAACGTATGATGAGTTACATTATGTGAAATTACCATCACCAAACCGTCACATATGAGTGGCCATTTCCATTGTCCATTGTCGATCAATTAGCCCTGACCACTAAATAACACCACCACCACAAACTGAATATATACCAGTCATCGTCGTATAATACGTTGACAACTCTCATGTTGCAGACACATTTACAATTTATGACTGTATGTGTACTGTACCTGCGCAATTTAAACGTCCTTGGTTGTACAAATTATTTATACAATTATTGTACATTTTCCTGCCACTACAATACTAATTGCTGTATTTCTGTATGTGTGGTACGTATGCCCCACACAATGTTATGCGTCTTTCTGTGACGTAACAATATGTTAGATTGCACTGTGACGTCATACTAACAGTATAAATGAACCCTTGAAAATCACTTTCGTGAAACCTGTTGAGTACATTATATAGCTGTTCTTTGGACTATGTAAACAAAAAGAAAGAGCTTTTGTTATCAGTTTGCATGCATATTTAGTATTGGAAGGCATTCCATAGAATAAAGACAATACTGGAGTAATTTGATTTGTAATAATGCATGCAAAATGCTGTTTTCGATGCACAGATCTGAATTAGTAGAAAGATAGCTTAATGGTGTCTGTTGATATTGTTTGTGTCTGTGGTTTATCTCTTTCTTTTTTCAAACGCTGATAGTGACTTAATTCGATGCTAACTCCAATTGCTTATATTTATTGCTGAAGGTAAGTGTGATTCTATGTTGCATCATAACCTCCTTAATGCTGGTATAAACGTTGATTAATTGTAACCTCGTTGTTCCATAGCGCTTGCATAACATCATCAATTGACCATCGAGATACTGTACTCACATGCACATATATACATGGAAAATATTATGTTAACGTAAAGTGAAGTATATGTATATTCGATCCGTGAAGATCCGTGTTAGAACAGGTCTTCAGCAAGCCATGCTTGCCGTAAAAGGCGACTATGCATGTCGTAAGGGGCGACTTACGGGATCGGGTGGTTAGGCTGGCTGACTTGGTTGATGCATGTCCTCGTATCCCAATTGCGTGGATCGATGCTCCTGATGTCAATCACTGGATTGTCTGATCCAGACTCGATTATTTACAGACCGACGTCATATAGCTGTAATATTGTTTGGTCAGCGTCAAACATCAAACAAACAAAATGTATATTCACAAGTATGTTTAATAATTATCATGATTCCACGATGACACGATATCAAGGTCTGCACGGGGATGTAGTTATTGTGAGCGTTATTTGTTTGTTGTTTAACTTCACTCCCAGCAATAGTACATATATATGGCGATAACATGTAACTAATCAAGTTTTGACCAGACAATCGCGTGACGGATCCACAATTTCGGCGTGAGAACACAACGAGTCACACGTGTCAACCGCAAGATGCTCTGGATTTTACGAATGCGTCAAACATTGTACCCCATAAGGAAACCGCTTGAACCTCATCACTAAACCGCCATCCTGATGTTACAAGGTAGATAAAAATACACATATTAAGACATTAAGACTTGTTATACTAGTATCGACTTCTCTGCGAAGTCAAAGGGTTGGAAGCAAAATAGTGTACAGTGCGACGACACAGCCTGTGTGGCCTGTGCAGCTGAACATGTGACATTCACCACATTTGTATTCAGACTTGTAACACAACTAATGTGTCTTGTGGAGGAAAATACAAACACTATACTCTTATAGAGTAATATATTGCTACAGTAAATATGTCGTGATCAAATGTAAAATGTAAAATTGGCCACATTGTTTTCATTTAACTTATAACTATTATTCATAGATAAACTATACTTTAAGTGACGTAATGTTACACTCTTTTCATCTCTTCAAGTTAGGATATGAAAAGATATGAAATCTATAAACTGAGATTCCATACTGCAACTGAACGTCAGAAACATCGAGTGGGTGATCTAATTCACTGTTCGTCGTTACCGTCAAATGGCATCACTGTATCACGCTAATACATCATACATTAATCACCTGTCGGGTAGACACAGTCATCGTTGTATAACGAGTTGTCAACTGGTCATTTTGTAGACATGCACAATTTATGACCTGCTTTGTACCCCTGCATTCATGTTAATATAAAGGAAGGACTGTGCAGTGGACACTTCACTTTCTGAATCAGTCAGTCCCGGTAGACCTCAACCAAAACGTAAGTGTTTGTATCTCAGTTTCGTTTTATGTATGTGAAATCTTTTTCGCAAAGCTCTATGTATGATATACTATAACTTACGTATCTTGGGCATCACACGGCTTTTTTCAACTATAATTATTTAATTGATATGTATTTATATAGAGCACCACATTCCCCAATCTCTGAAGAACAATCTATACTGAAGGACCTGGGAGTTTGGGCGACAGAAAAAAATTGTTCCAGGAATGGTTGGAAACAAAATAATCTCGACTCAGGTTTAACAACAAATAAAAAAAATGAAATAATTGTCAGCTGAATACGCCGGATGTCCTGAATAAAATGTGCTGTGACAAAAACAAATGGTCGGCTGTTCTGCTCCCTTTATAGATGTTTTCAAGCAGGAACCGAATAAATACTTTGTCTCTGACAAAAGTCCTAGACCCAACTAGCATATAAAATAATACAAGTACCAATAGTGTGTTTACCTTTACATTCTTTCTGGTATCATAGATATGCATGGCCATGTACACGGAACGAAACGAAGGTAACATACTGAATGTGTTTGACCCTCATATTTCCATGTACAGTAGTCAAATACATGGAATAAGTTCGTTTCTCTATTTTCACAGATTAACAAAATGAAGCTTCTTGCTGTTGCCGCTGTCTGCTTTGTTGCCATGACAACAACACATGGTTTTGGAATTGGTATCCCTCCTTTCGGAGGGATCGGTTTTCCCCCGTTCGGTGCATTTGGTCCTGGATTCCCCCGTATCGGCCTTGGATTTCAACATCTCGGACTTGGAATGCCACATCTCGGACTTGGAATGCCACATCTCGGACTTGGAAATCCACATCTCGGACTTGGAATCCCCTCTCTCGGCCTGGGTGTTTCCCCTCTCGGCTCAGGGCTCAACCAGGGATTAGTCCATCCAGGATCACAGGGCGCCGGTGCCATTCTTTCACAGGGTTACGGTAAGTATAATAGTGCAATGTGACAGGAAAACAGGCAGTAACTTAGACACATGAACAAAAGCATGTGAACAAATCAAGCAATTCGTCAATTGTCATATCTGTCCATTTCATTCATTCCAGGTCCTGGTTATATTGGTGAACTCGATGCGTATGCTGCCTCCTCTGCTGCTGCCCCCACAACTATTGCCGCCACAGCAGTTGCCCCGGCAGGACCTGCTGCCTATGAGCCCGCTTTCATGGGAATCTAAGTGACATGCCTAAAGTCCACTGAGGTCTATCCGCTTGGCAAATGTAATATATATGCTACTGCAGTTAGTCGTCTCGTAGTTGGGGTTGTCATGCTACACGATGCAACAGCGTGAGTGATGTTTTGATGGCTGTTGTTCTATATTGAAAATAAACATATATTTATTATGATCTATAGTCATGTGTTCCTTCTATATCCAAACTGTCAGTAGAACATGCGTGTATGTTAAATGTGGTTATCAAGATGCTGAGTAGATCCACTAACTAAAGGGGGCGTGCGGGTAGCCATTGGTTTAGCGTTCGCACGTCACGAACAAAACCAGAGTTCTATGTCCCACATGGGTACATTGAGTGAAGCCCATTTCTTGTATTCCCAACCGTGATATTGCTGGAATATTGCTAAATATGCACTATAGGCACTTTAAAATCGGCACTAGTCCGGTCTGGTCCGGGTCACACACTCTCGCACGTGCATGCACGTCGCTATATAAGTGCAATAATCTGGAAAGAGACGTTAAACCCCTTTTCACCTCTCCTCACCTAATAGCTGATCCGTCATTAACAGTAGCTTCTTGTGTTGTAATCTGTTATTTACTCTATACATTCAAGATTTAATACATTTTCGTTAGTAAAGAAAGATATAAATTAACACAAAACTTTAAGGAAGGGAATTCATGGATGTCAACTTTAATACGAGGAACACAACGTTTCGGAGTATATGTTTAAGTACTACTTCATCAGGGGAATGAATGAGTCATGGTTATTTTTAATCATAAAATGCCCATCGACATGGGAAGGTAATATTTAGGTGATTGAATAATAAACGAATGAAATACTTATCTCGGGACAGAGTCGCCAAAGAGCGAGGCGGACGTGTTAAAAACCCCTGGAACCCACACGGTGCATACCCGAGTATATCAACATCGCACTTCACAAATCGCATTGCAAAGCTGCTAAAACAATTCATGCATTCCGTTGGAAAGGCATACTTTCAGAGGTGATGTTTGTTTGAATGTTTGTTTGTTGTTTAACGCTGCACTCAGCAAAATTCCAGCTAAATGACGGCGGTCTGTAAATAATTGAGTCTGGATCAGACAATCCAGAGATTGACATCATGAGCATCGATCCACGCAATTTGGATTCGATGAAATGCATCAACCAAGTAAGCCAGCCTGACTATCCGTTCCCGTAAGTCACCTATTACGACAAGTATAGTCGCTTTTTACGGCAAGCATGGCTTGCTGAAGACCTATTCTAACACGGATGTTCACGGGTCGAGTATACTTGTACTTCACTTTACGTTAACATGATATTTTCCATGTACATATGTGCATGTGAGTACAGTATCTCAATGGTCAATGCTATGCTTGCGCTATGGATCAACGAGGTTACAAGTTATCAACATATATACTAGCATTTAGAAGGTTATGATGCAATATAGAATCACATTTACCTTTAGCAATAATTATAAGCGAATATAGTTAGCATCGAATTAAGCCAGACAATCCAGTGATTGAAATCATGAGCATCGATCCACGCATTTGGGATTCGATGATATCAACCAAGTCAGCCAGCCTGACCACCCGATCCTGTTAGTCGCCCTTTACGGCAAGCATGGGTTGCTGAAGACCTGTTCTACCCCGGAGGTCATGTAACATAATGGGATCCATTTGTACAGTGTATGTGCTCCAAAGATGATCGGTGAGTGAGTGAACGTTGTTTACCGATGCAGATGCAATATTCCAGATTTCCGTAAAAATTCGAATCTGGAACAGGCAAACACACGTCATTTTTTTGTAACCGCTATTTGGCCCTCTACGTATAAGTGTTTCTCTAGATCTTGTGGTGATTGTAGTCACAGCACAAAATCACTTGTCATAGCATGGTGATAAGAACAACTGCAGAGTGTCAATACTATCACGTCGAATGTATTGAAGAAAGCTCAAATCAGTATTAACTCTCCATCGGACTCGGCGCTGAGCAAAATTGAGAACTGCAGAATTTGATGTAATATATTTGACATAAAAAAATTGATTTGTCCGCATGATATCCACATACGACGTACTCGCTCCAGTAAGTTTTGATACGTTAAGTATATGTCACAGAGCTACTTATATTTATTATCCTAATCTGACTCCCGCAGGAGATATTGCTTGTGTGAAGGCAGACAATATCTGCTAGGAGACTGACATAAGCGTTAGTATGAGGGTTCATTCTTGACGTTTTCAAACAGTACAACGACATGACAGTCAGCATACCGAACACTTTGGTTAGTTTGTAGGTGACTGAGTCCAGGGCACAAATCGCATTGCAAAGCTGCTAAAACAATTCATGCATTCCGTTGGAAAGGCATACTTTCAGAGGTGATGTTTGTTTGAATGTTTGTTTGTTGTTTAACGCTGCACTCAGCAAAATTCCAGCTAAATGACGGCGGTCTGTAAATAATTGAGTCTGGATCAGAGCATCGAACCACGCAATTTGGATTCGATGAAATGCATCAACCAAGTCAGCCAGCCTGACTATCCGATTTATGGCAAGCATGGCTTGCTGAAGACCTATTCTAACACGGATGTTCACGGGTCGAGTATACTTGTACTTCACTTTACGTTAACATAATATTTTCCATGTACATATGTGCATGTGAGTACAGTATCTCAATGGTCAATTGATGATGCTATGCTTGCGCTATGGATCAACGAGGTTACAAGTAATCAACATATATACTAGCATTAAGAAGGTTATGATGCAACATAAAATCTCATTTACCCTTAGCAATAAATAAATATAATTTGTAGGTGACTGAGTCCAGGGCCGAGACGCCCTGTGGCTGTAACGTCGAAGTAACGTCATAACGTAATCACTTCACTTTTCGACATTGACGTCATAAGGGAACGCGCCACATGTTCAGACTATCGGTATACTCAACACGAAACTCTTAACCAATTGACCAGTTAAGCAAAATAAAGTATTTCGTTCAACTTTGCGGTTTAAATATATGAACAAGAAATATATTAGATATGTCACAGTTACAAACAATAGCTATGCTGCACATGTGTTCGTCGAAGAAACGTAATGCATTGCCATATTTGTCTTGTACTTACTGAGATATTGGACCATAATAGATTCGACCTCATGGATTTTGATACCAATTATATAAACACTCGTCGATCAAAGTAGAAAACCTCCTGGCAAGACGCAGAGTTTTGGTACTATAGTCGATGTATGTCGATATGTTTTATATCAAACTCGGGTGAGATTCTCTGTGTGTAGACTAAATGTTCTTGCATCAATCATAACCAAGTTTGCAATTTTGAGAATTCACATCGGTCAGCATATTGTGCACGAAGCTCAGGGAGCGAACTCATTAAAAACTGTTCGGAGCGTGTGATCATGGTGAGTCCCAAAACTGCAGCTTTCTGCATTACTCAGATTGTCAGAAGGCCGCGGGTACACTCCCAATGTCAGTCAATAGATTGGGAGGTACCAAACCTAAGTCACCGAGAACAATGGGGAGTCGGCGCTACTTGGTGATGCAAGCCCTCTGACTATGCTTTTTAAAGTATTTTGAATAAGTCATACAGTCCGTAAGAGTTGTTTTGTGTTAAATTTTAGAGGTTGCATGATTAGAAAACATATTCCGCCCAAAATGTAACATAACAATATGAATATTTTTTTATTTATTTTTTTATTACGTGTTTGAATCGTTATCTATCGTGAAGCTGTCCGATTTTCGATCACAAACGTTGATACTACTTAATTTCGTTTATCCGACATACTCGTTAATCCGACATAATCATATGCAACCATCGATGTCGGATTAAACGGGACTTGACTGTATATGATACACGTGGTGAATTACGTGAAGCAGACAAGATTGAGCTACATACATGTACATGGTGATCACTTTAACTTTTCAGTCCAGTTCAGTGTAACCTCACCCATTTCTTTTAACAATGGGTATAATCTCTTTTCAGTGCTATCTGTCCTGATACTGAAATAGTTCGAGGAAGCACATTTTAAACCTCATGGAACAGAACAGTTATCTTGCCTCTTCATAAGAATGGGAACAGAGAGGACGCAAATAGTGAGTGAGTGAGTGAGTTGGGTTTTACGCCGCTTTTAACAGTATTCCAGTTATATCACGGCGTGTCAGCTTAATGTGGGAGGAAAGCCCGAAGTGATGCAGGTCTCAGACGTTTACCACTTCGGTGAAACCCACGAGCACGGGTATGGTGCTGACAAACCTAGAAACATAATCGGGGCGAACCGGGATTCGAACCCACAATCATAGGTTTCTGGCGTGCCCAAGGGACGCAACCCTGCATAGCGAATCGCGGCGCCTCAGACGACTGGGCCATCCGTGCCCCCTAGGACGCAAATAATTATAGTAGCATGACACTGTGAAGTGTGCTTCGTAAATTTTACATCAATTCTCATTGAATGACTTGTGTCCTGGTCAAATGCATATGATGAAACTGAAGGATCCCAGGTTAGTTTTCGCGAGTGGCGAGTGCTACCGGTAGAGCAGGATATGCTTACCCTTTTCGTGAACACCTGGTGTCATCACTGATTTTCAGTGGTCTATTTTCGTATAGTTTACACAGCTGTTTTGCCCTTTACGCCAAATGGGTGCACTGTTTGAAGCATTCGTAGAATCCAGAACATCTTGCGGTTGACACATTTTACCCATCTCACCCTGAAGGTGTGGATCGTTGCTCATGATATTAGTCACTGGATTGTTTGGTCCAGACTTCATTATTCACATGCTATCTCCTATACCTGGACTATTGCTGGGAGTGACGTTAAACGACAAACAAATAACGCTCACAAAAAATACATCCAATCCCCTTGCAGACCTTGATTTAGCATTTCGTGTAATCAAGATAATTGTCATTCATAATATTATTATTTTAAACATGTTAACAATACTTGTGAATATAGATTTGAAAGGCAAGAGAATATATTGATGTCAACTTCTTTATTATGAGGAACACGACGTTTCGGAGTATATGCTTACTCCTTCACCAGGTGAATGAATGCCATGAGGCAGAGAGCATATATCTTCCTCTCATGACGGGGAAAAGGAGATAGTTTCCCTCGTGGCTGCGCAACTCGTTAAAATATCTCCTTCTCTCCCGTCACTCGATGAGAGAAACATGATATTCCATTCG